AGTAAATGGAAAGTTACTATTTCACTTTTTCAAAAATATTAAAAATGTGGTCAACGTCAAATTTCTTGTCTGGGGCCTCCACCGCAACGTTTCGAAAGGTTTGAGGTGATGGTTGCTACAAAACAAAGATTTGGAAAAAGCCTGCTAATGTTATAAAGATTTTGGGTTTCTGTTGTAATTATCCCTAATAAAAATAAATAAAGCACTAAAGCATTTTATTAGCACGGTTTTGCATATATTAAATATTGTCTATTTTTAATAATAGAATTAATGTGACACAATTTTACGTTTATTATTTAATACTAGTCATTATTTATTTCCAATAATAAAAATATATTTGTCAACAGTAACACGACTTCAATACATTGAAAGATTAATGTTATTGTACATTATCAATAAAAAGTTTAGTTGTTAATTTTAAAACTCTAATTGTGAATTTTCAATAAATATTATTGATATTCAATAAGTTATTTAAAAAATTATAAAAATGCATATTGGATACATGTCGAAAATCATTCAAAAGTGTGAAACAATTAAAAAATACATATCGAAAATTTAAAAAATAAAAATATATAAAATGATTAAAAAAAAGTATCTGGTACGCATCAGAGAGTATCGAAAAGTATTGGAACATGAGAAACGTATCGAATACGAATACGTAACGAGTTCTACAAGTGTCAACGCTTCTTAAGTTAAAGATTTAGGATCTTGAGAGTTGACAGTTTCTATCATAAGGTAGTATAAACCATTCTTCTTATGTCCCTTCATAGCTACAAAATATCCTTTCATCACTTTCAAAGTATTATTTTTCAAATTTGAATGTATGACTCCTATCTTCAAGAATTCCCTGCGAGATGAGGTTTCTTTTTGGATTTGGGACATGTCTCACACTCTTGATTTGTCTAACAACTACAGGGATACTTTGAGGGTTATTGTCACCTATATATACTTTCTTGGATTCTAACATTGGTGGAGATATTTAGTTGCCAACCGTTTTTACTGTGCATGCGATGGTGACTGCTCCAGTAACACATTTAGGAGCAGTGGGAAGAGGAGTCAAGCGAGTCGTGATGAATTCGGTGTTGGAAAAATGGGTGATTTATGTGTAGATATTTATCATAATGTAATCAATTAAATAACAGAAACATAATTCAACAATAATATAACATAAAATAGAGAAAAGATTTAGAAAGCAAACTTTGGGAGTCACGTCGAAAACGTTGTCCTAAAATCGTGTTGCCTTCCCTTTGTATATGTTCTTTCGACACTACACGGCTCCAAGATAAATCTCATGTAACTATCCTTCTATGGGTACAATTATAGGGAGATAAGTAAACGATTCTCTCATCTAGTTGTCAAAATAGTATGAATATGATATAAAATTGTAGAGAGGACAATACTTCAAGTTGTTATACCAAACTATAAAATTGACTCTCTTCTATAGCGTATAACTTAACCCCCACAATAATGAGAATTATCCCAATTAAAATATAAGTTACATTATGAAATAGGTGTTTTAATTTTATATTAAAACTAAAAATTAAAAGGTTTTAATTTGAAAGGTTGAAACTTTTATTCTTGAGTTATAACCTAAATTATGAGATTTAATTTTATATTAAAAGTTAATAATTGAAATCAAAATTGAAAATTAATATTTCTTGTGAAAGTTTAAAATTTTTAAAAAATGTTCCAACACTCGGGCACAGAAGAGTCTAGCACATCCAAGAAACCTTGTATTAATCCATCACTAAACAACGCTGAGGGTAGTGACACTTGAAGAATTCTGCAAGTGAAAGTCTGCTCTAGGAAATTTCACAATTGACTGATAATTATATTTATCCAAGAGCACAAATGATTAAAGAGTATGATGCTTAGATTACTGTTTTCAATCTTGAATTTATTTTCATTACTTTGTTGTTTTCTACTGACTGCTTTTATTTTAAGGTAAACTTTTCAAGTAAATATGCTTCTTGTTCGGCCATTGCCTGTTCGTCGACACGAACTCATGGGCTAATGACAGTAACAGCATCGTCTCCTTAATTTGTCGTTACATTAATTTCAAATGAACGCAACTATGGCTACACTCTGATATTATGGCATGTTTAATTAAGAGAAGTGGACATAACATGATTGCCTCGGATATTTTCGAAAAATGAAAAGACATTATTCACTATAACAGGTCACGGAGGGAATCAATCGGAGCCACATTTAAGAAAACTATTGTTATTTAGCCCTCGTTTGACCCCCATTTATTGAAAATGAAAATAGGGGGAATAATGTTTTTTTTGAAAAATGAATGGTTGAAAAAGAAAGAAAAATTTTCGATTTACGTGTAATATTACTTTATGGGGGTGTTTGAGCCACATTATTTTGGTAATAATGCATTTTTGAATAGTGTATTGATGGAACATGTGTGGTTAAAAAATAAGTAAAAGTTTTTTATTTGCGTGTAATATTATTTTATTGAAGAATGTGTGATTGAAATGATATTAAATCACTGTTTAAGAATGTATTTTTTTAGAAAAATGTGGCTCAAATAGGCCCTATGGAAGATTATGTGATTTAAAATAAGAGAGAGAAAAATGAAATTTAATGGGGGCCAAAAGGAGGCTTAGCATCACTAGTGTTATAACCAGATTAAGTGACCCATTTAGTTGTATTTCTTATTTAAACTCTTATTTCGTGAAAATTAAATTCAGATCTTGGTAGATTTTGATAAAAATTGATGAAACGAGTAATTAAAAAGTTATGAATTTCCTGAAATATGTGATTAAAATTAATTGTTAACTTTGACTTGAATTAAAATATGAATTTTAACTTGTATCAAACAGGGACTTAATGTCACATTACTGCTACATAGACACCGGTGTTTAAATAGCACAGAAGGTAGAGATCAATCGAGTTATCGAAAGAAAAGTGCCTTCTTGATTGTAAAACTGTGCTTCTCAATTTCACTTCATAATTGTTGCTATCGCCCTTAAAAGTATGAGTTATGCTATATTATCAGATTGATTTTATCAAAATTGTGTCAGATTAACACTAGGCAATATTTCATTGGTAGTCGGCCCAAAAATATTTTTCAATTACCAATGAAATACTGTCAAGTGTTAATCCACCTCAATTCTAATAAAATCAATCTGGTAAAATGGTATAAATGTAAAGATATTTTGTTTTGCATCATTTTCTCTCTTTCAATTCTTATTTCCAAGCTGTCCCATGAAACTATATGAGAAAAAAAAAAGTGAAATTTATGAAAGAATAATTTAAATTGAATTATTCATGAATAATTTTGTCAAGTAGTCCAAAGTAGTAACGGCATTTACTTCATAGATAATTGGTAGCATGTCGACAGATTTTTTTTTTTGCAATGCGACATATCGAGAAATCAAATTTTTTTTTTTTTTTGGTAGCATGTCGACAGATTTCTGTTTCTGCAATGCGACATTATATCCAGTAGTTGGCACATCGTTTTCTTCATAATTACGATGCTATTTTGTCTTTTTCTGTCTTCAAATCTTTGCATCACAAAATTTGATTTCTGGATATTATCACTTGCTTTTACTTTCGCCAACTTGATAGGCCAAATTATTTCTTAAATAAAAAGATATTCTTCGTAAAGGATTATGCAGGGACGGATTAAGGACTTAATTAAATAGCTAGGCTAAGATGTAAAAGAAAAATTTCCATATAACTTTTTCTATATACAACACAAATAAAAATTAATTAAAATATAAATAAAAAAAATTAAATCTCAGGTTGGCCCCTGAATCCGTCAATTAGTGTATGATAATTGGATCGTGTCATATGTACCCGGGCGTTGATATGCCCCTCACGGCAGGAGGATCTGTGCATTTCTTTTTTCGGTGCGGACCCCCTACTCGTGAGAAGCATGTAACTAGGTATGTCAACGCCCCATGCCCGAGTACAAACAGCAAAATTCATGATACTTTGTCAATATTCTCAATCGTCTAAAGGAAGAATGATGGTTAATACGTCTCTAAAGGTCAAGTGAGGTATATTCACTGAAGTAGTAGGTTTTGTGTTCTATTGTCTTGATCGGCACTACTATATATATAAGTGGCTATGGAAAGTGAGGAATCCGCCCCACTGCCATCCCTAATCACACTTATGACTTATCTTTTGGAACTTGTTTCAAGCGTTAAATTTAGCCAGTGGTTGGGAGGAATTTTATACCAGATTTTAATTATTTTTATAACCGTTGTGCTAGCACCCAGGCATTTTTTTTTATTGAATTCCTTTCTTACATTGGGACCCATTTGTATTTTCACAACACTTAAAATTCCGATGAAAATCTTTCACAAATTGGTGGCAAACAAGACCTTAGTCTGGTTCAATATTAGGTGTTGCTTATCTAGCATGCATTATCACTAGGATGCTTGTACGTTCAATCGAGCATAGTTATGTAGATATGGAGGTTATTGTCAAAATGTTCGAGGTATTGCTATACCTAAATGTACTTGATAGGCATTTTGGTCGACTGTTAAAAAATAAGTTAAATAATACAAGCCCTTATTTGGTTTAGTTAAAAATTAGATATTTAATAAATTAGATAAAAATTGATGAAATGTATGATTGAAAAATTGTATATCCTGCCCCCCGAGGCATAATTCAATGGTGCAAAGGATAGGAGTGAGGTACTCTCAACCTTGCTGATAGCCGCAATATGAGGGTTCAATTCCTGATATATGAAATTGGACTTTTTGTGGGTACCAGTGTATGGATAAGTTCTTTTTCCCTGTCCTGTTGAAGCATATCCCGCGATTTACCTCATTCACGATACTCCAGGAGCGGGGCGGTGGGGGCCCTCAAGATTGGAGTTCAACATTTTTTTTTTTTTTTGTAAAATTGTATATCCTATCTAAAGTGAATTTTTTTTTTTTTAAAAATGGAATCAAACAAGTAAATAACCCAAAGAGGAATACAGTTGGATCCGTTAACCCCGCACAATTTTTTCGTTCAGTAATCCAGAAACCTGCTGGCCCACTTTATTGAATTTTTACAAAAGCCATGTAGATATATGGCCACAAAAACACTTCCAGACCAACCAACCATTACAGTTTGAATTTTGAGTTTTGATTTTTAATTCAGATCTGATCAGTTGAAAGTAAAAGAAGAAGATCAAGAAATGGGGAGGATGGATTATTTGGCCATGAAACCTGATCAAGAATTGCTGAATGAAGATTTCAACGAACTGAAAATGGCTACCAAGAAACTCATCAATCACGCTGCAAAATTGGGTGGGCTAGGCTTTGGGACTTCTTTTCTCAAATGGGTTTCCTCTTTTGCTGCCATGTGAGCTTTTTATTATAATCTTGTTTCAGTATATGAGTTTGTGTGTGTGTAATATTTGCTAATTTATATGCAATTGATAGCTGGGATTAAACCCTAGAAAATAATGAATCTCCATGTAGCGGCTAATAAGACTGAAGTTGAAGGTGAGTTTATTCAAGTTAGATAATGTGGAGTTTTCTTGACTATGACGATGTGCGGTTGGTTATTTTTTATTATTTATTGATTTATTATTATTTTTTTTGAAAAATGTAACTTGATCTATTGACATTTACAGGGTGAATTGTAGTTTTGGAAAGTCATGTTTGAAACCTTTAATATTATATGATAAATTCTTACATTTATAGCTTGTTGGTAAGATAGCAAGAAAAGAAGTTTGAATCTCGTTTTTTATATTGTCTAGATGTGTCCAATACGGTGTACCAAACAAGTCCTTAATGAACGATGAGTTAACATTTAGCTTCTTCTTTTACATTTTAATAAGTTATTGTCTGGTTTGGTAAATTCTAATTGATATCATTAGATCTTATTTTGACTGTTAAACCACAATTCTTCAGTCATTAAATTTCGTAATCTGTTGTTCACTTGAGGATTTTGTGGTGTAAATTGAGGATTACACCCATGAAGGACTTGGAAACCAGAATGCAATAAAAAATTGAAGAGCATATAACAATTATATGAAAATAGGATGGTGTTCTGAATGTCTGATAGACTGATAGTGATACAGAGTACAATGGATACATAGAAAATGTTAGGTGAACACTCGAGGAAAAATCCTGCAGTTTCCGTAATGGGTGGAAATCTTTTTGCATCTCTCTTGACGAAGGTCATATTGACAGCCTCATTTAAAATGCTGAATCCTCTTTTGACATAGTCTGGTTTGTTGCAAGGGATTACGATTTCCTAATAACCTGTGTGATCTATATAAAAATTAAAGGTTATCGTGAAAGGTAATCTTCATGTGTCAAAGTACTTTTCTTACAGTTCCTTTGATTACTACTAGAAACGGGTAGATTATTTGGACCCGTTTTGAGTAGAAGTAACTGTTGAAGATAGTAACTCGATCTAGAAGATATTATTTTTACATTGAATGAATAATTAGCATCTAAAAGTTCCATTATCTACTCAACTGTATTAAAACATCAATTGTGTATTCCCTTTTGCTTGTTTGTGATTCCAACTCTGATACTTGCAGTTATTCCACATACAGAGTAATGTCACTTTTTGCAGATTGCAATGTCTACGTAAAATTTTCACTCTACACCGCATATATTTGTATAATTCGTTCACTTCTTCCTTACAGTTTGCCTGAATCGATCATCTTTAACTCTTGAATGGATTACTAATGTTAATCAGAAAATTACTTGTTTACTGCAGTTATTTATTGGTCTTGGACCGGACAAACTGGAAAACAAAGATGCTGACTGCACTCCTAATTCCATATATTTTCTTTAGTTTTCCTTCCATATTGTTCAACTTTTTAAGGTGACAATCTCTACCTTGATACTGTTCAACTAGCATTTTCTTGAGCAAAATCATTTTTCTGATTCAGCACTTGGCTTTGTGGTATAGGGGAGAGGTTGGAAGATGGATTGCAATCATTGCAGTTGTATTAAGGCTTTTCTTTCCCCGACATTTCCCAGGTAAACTCGTTATCTTCTGACGGTTGAAAACTCATGAGATTCAGTTTTACCATCCTTTAATGGCTTCTTGTTCCTGTTGATTAAGTTTACTTGTTTATCACTGCTTTTTGTTCAATGGAAAAAAACTAAGAGCATGTTTGGTATGCACTGCAATGGACAAGACTTTGTTTTCTTTTTTTATTACCATTGAGCATTCTATAGTCAACCTAAGGAACCCAAGTATTTTAGTTTTGCATCCTTCTCCTTTAGATGGTGCATCTTTGTAACCATTATGTAGTCAACAAATTTTTAGATTATGCACTTATTGTTCTTGCAATTCGGATCATATTCTTTACGTAATTTCTGACATGAGAATATATGCACTAGTAATTATAAAGAATCGATTTTAATTATATAACTCCACTTCAAATCCAAATTGAATCACTTTCCAATCCCCTTGATATATGCTAAACTAGAGCAGCCCCCAATAGGACTAAAGAAAAAGAAACTAAATCCATTTAACTGTTTTATATGTGGTTACAGATTGGCTAGAGATGCCTGGTTCATTGATTCTTCTTCTGGTGGTTGCTCCAAATTTCTTTGCTCATACTCTTAGGCACAGTTTGGTTGGCGTTGCTATATGTCTTGCCATCGGTTGTTATCTTCTGCAAGAACACATTCGATCATCTGGTGGATTCCGTAACTCCTTCACACAAAGCCATGGCATTTCAAACACAGTAGGGATTATTCTCTTGTTGGTCTATCCCATATGGGCTCTGGTAGTCCATTTTGTCTGATGCATCCTGGAATCGACGTCAACCATGCTTCAACCTCCTATCATCAGTGAGGAACATTTGTCCACATTGAAAAATGTTTCATTTCAAATGTTCAAGGATTTCTTTTTACTTTCATCATCATCATCATCATCATCATCATGATTTGTCTGGGAAGTAAAACCTAGTATCCCAAAATATAATTTTTCTTGCAATGTGACTTTGCTGTGATGTTTGTAGACTATTATGGCTGCTTCGGTACTGACGTTGTGTATATATTGGAGTAGATGCATTTCTAAATTAAGCAGTTACATGTACGAGAAAAAATTATTCTTCAAAGCTTGAGACTTGGCCAAGCAATAGAATATAACTAAAGCCCCGTTTGATTCCCATTTTTCTTAAAATGTATTGTTCTCTTTTTTTTTTTTTCAATCACATTTTTTATTAAAATAATATTACACGTAATGCAAAAACTTTTCATCTACACATTCTTTATCAATTTACTATTTTGAAATTTATTTTTCCATAAAAAAATGAATGTCAAATACCTTCGGCCAAGTTGGTTCTGGAAAAAAAGCTTACCCCTAGGCATCAAGTGGGCCCACGGCCTGTGCACCCACACCATGCTCCTGTTTGGCATAGTTAAAATTTAGATTTTTAGTTGCAAGTTCCCTGAAAACTCTGTCCGTCTTTTTCTCCCTACTAGACAAACAAGTGGATTCTCGTTGTCTTTTCAATGGGACGAAGACAAAGAACTGATAGATACCCATAACCATCTTCTTGTCACTAAGGGCTCAAATCATAAAAGATGACTCTGGGTCTTATGAAATGTGTGATTACGATTAACTGTTGATTTTAATTTTAAAAAAATTCAATTTTTTAAATTAGACCAAACAGAGTATCTAATATTGCTTGATCGGGTTGGACCTTTTTTGGGGACTGGATATAAGTCAAGATTGGAGTAGCATATTAGTCATTTCAAAAACCACAAATCCTAGCTAAAATCCTGTCGAAATTGACCTTTTGGGTGGCTACGTTTATGAGAGGTCGGAAAAAATAGGTACTTATTGGGTTTTCGGGCATTGATTTTGAGTAGTTTTTACAAAAAAAATAGATAGTGTAGTTTTTTACCGTATCTCTTAATCCACGAAATCTGTGTATTTTTGTCGTTTCTCAAATTCTTTTTTAATTTTACCTTCTAAAGAATAATTATTTTTAACTCACATATTTTGTTTAGAACTAACTAATAAATAAAAATACAAATAGTAAAAAAAATTATTTAAAAGTAGAAAAAAATGCTTTATAACTAAAAAAATTGCTTAAGTTAAAAAATAAATAAATTATGTATAAGATAAAAATTCACTTTTTATTAGAAAAAAAAATTGATTATAAACTAAAAATGCACTTAAAATTAAAATTAATTCTAAGAAAATATTTTATTTTTTAAGTTAAAAATTATTTAGATGTGAAAATTTTCATAAAATAAATTATAAATTTTACTATAGTGACATATAAATAATTTTCTTAAAAACTTTTAGAATCGTTGAGTAGTAAGGTTGAACAGTCTCATCTTTAAAAATATCCTAAAATTCAAACCTCTCAAAATTGTCCAAAATTGGTAATTGTATTGTAAATGGTAAGTTTATTAGGGTTTATCAGTGAATGATAATTGTACCCCTGCAGTACTAAAAATTATTATCGTTGTATCTCTAATTTTGCTCTATAAATATAAAGTTTTGGTTCTTAATAAAACATACAAGTTTATTAATTTTTATTCTCTCTTATCTTTTTTTCTCTTTTCATAATACGGTATCAACACGAAAACTTAAATCTTCAAATTTAGAGAATGTAGTAATTTTTTTTCAAGCATAATCATATACCGCATGTACCAAAATTAATTTAACGACATGTGAATTTTTCTACATACACATACATCAAAATGGGGTTGTTTCTTCTTCTACGTCTTCTATACTTTTTTCCTTATACAAATCTATATTGATTATTTTATTATATTCATAGCAATTACTTTGTCCTATTTGCTTGTCTATATATGAAATCAATATGCATGCACGTTTGGAAGATTTTTTACTTATACATTTTTGGTAATTAATTTTTCTATATAAATTCATATCATATCTATATGACAATTAAAATTTTTAGTATTCTTCTGAAAACTTTAAATTAATAATTTATCACTTTATTGCTCATGAAGTAACACAACATTATAATTAATATTTTCAGAAGAATATTATGCTTATTATTCCTGAAGAATGTAATATTATTTTTAATATTCTAGAAGAATATTGATTTATTACTCTTGAAGAAACAATAATAAAATATAACTTGCTCTAAAAATAGCATATATCCTAAATAATATATATTTTATTGTGTTCTTGAGAAAACATAAATTAAACAACTCAATAATAGATTGTAATTTTTAAAGAAATATAATTTTTTATATTATTAACATACTAGGAGAATGTTAATTTATCGCTCTTAAAGATCATGAATTATAATTTTTAATATTCCAGAAGAATATTGTCATGTTGCTATTGAAGAAGCAATAATTAAAGATAATGTGTTCTTGAAGTAGTACAATTTTTGAAAAATATATTATTTTGAATTCATGTTTATTCTTGAAGGAAAATATATAACTAATGTGATGAGGACAATGATTAGTTTGACTATCTAAATGATATATGCTTATATAAGTTTTAATCTTATTTTTCGAAATTAAATTATTTAATATTATCTTATATTGATTAGTTGGATCATCACTGGATTAATAATGTCAAAAATTCAAATGGATATTTAACAAAGAATTAGAAGATTCTTCAGTTCAATACTTATAAAAAATTTGTTCTCTTTCATGAAATTTTTCATTAACCATTACTACCTAAAATATGGATTGAATTTCTTATACTTCTGAAAATTAATTAGGCTAATAAATGGGGCTCATAATTCTTCACATTGATCATCTAAATATTATTTGTATCTAATCTGTAGTTTGAGAAATTATTGCTCAAATTTTAAATGATGAGCATAATTTCCAAATTATATAATCAAAATAATGTCTTGTTAATATTAATGAGCATAAATCTCAACATTTTAATAAGTGTTAGTTGGGATGTCGATAAATTGTTTAACATTATTGTTTGTTAAACGTATCCAATTAATTTAATTGAGAACAAAGTATTTCATTTTTATTTAGAGAATTCTATTATGCATCATGCCAAAATCATAGTTTTTCATATTATAATTGACTTATAGCCAAAGCCTAATTTTTTAATCTAATTATTTTGAAAGTATAGTAGATGTAAAATTGAACTACCACAATGCGTTAGATAGAAAATAAAGAATGCTGAGAATAAATGCGTAATTCGAACCTTAATCCCAAATGAACGATATTTTATAACGTTGACAAAATTATTGTCAATTTGATTGAATAATTCTCTCAACATTAGGGGGAGGAATTAAGAGTTGAGAATAATTTATAAAATGTATCATCATCTCAATCATCGCAAAATTTCATTAGAACTAGAAGTTCGAAAGAGAATTTGTTTAGATGCATTTATTGATAAAAAAGATAAACAATATCTCACACACCAATGTTAAATGCTCCAATACGAATTGATATCCTATGAGGACAATTTATTAACATTACATTTATTATATCTATGACACGCTTGATATGTGATGAAATTCAATTCTAATACAAAAAAATTTCAAACGAAAATAGAGCAATTAGCAAAGATAGTCGCATTAAGGAGATATATACTCTTGATGAGTATTTAGACATAACAAGTTATAAAATCTCAGAAGAGGTTCAATTACCTAAAATAATGAAATTTGAGATGTCTCAATAAATTATATTATTATGAGAAAAGAAATAGAATCGAAAAAACAATTTGTCGACAACAATTTTGCACTTGATATATTGTATTATATAGCAAGGAATCAAATAAATTCGTTGAAATATATCGATCGAAGTAATGAGTGACCAAATAAAATGGACGCATGTTGTATAATCGTCTTAACAAATATATGTTGAAAAAAGGTTATAAGTGATGATGTTTGTCTATGTGTTTTCATAAAAGAAAATAAATATTGGATTTGCAATTGCAACAATTTTATGTTGATGATTTAAATTTAACTGAAACTCCCCAAGAACATAACAAAGCTGCTGATTATTTGAAAAATGAATTTCAGATAAAAGATTTAGAAAAATCAAATTTTATCTCTGGGTTGCAGATTAAACACTTCCCATAATGATTATTTGTTCATCAATTTATATATACAGAAAAAGTCTTAAAACGTTTTTATATGAACAATGCACATTCATTAACATCATTTACGTTTGTTCGATCACTTACTGTGAAAATTATTTATTTCGTCTACTTGAAAAATGGAGAAAATGTTCTTGCTCCTGAAGTACTATATCTTATTGTAATTGGAGCGTTAACTTATTATGCAAACTGAATTCGACCCAATATAGTTCTTATATAAATCTCATTGTAAGATATAACTCTACATAGCTCAAAGACATTGGAATAGTGTTAAAACATATTTTTCATTACCTAAAGAACATTATTGATTTGAAATTATTTTATTTTCAAAAGTCGAAATCTGCTTTAGTGGGATATGCAGGTATCTCTCTAATTCACATAAAGCTAAATTACAAATAGGATAGGCGTTTATACGTGAAAGAACTACTATATCATGGAGATCTATGAATCAATCATTAACAGCAATATCCTCAAAAAAATTTGAAATTATTGCAATCTATGAAGTTGGTCAAGAAAATATATGTTTGAGGAATATGACCCATCATATCAAAGCATCATGCGGGTTGACTTCAACAAAAGATAGTCCAATAATTTTGTATGAAAACAATGTAGTTTGTACAGCACAACTCAAAGCTATATCAAATGTGACAAAATGAAATATATTTCTCCAAAATTCTTTCATACATATGAGCTTCAAAAGAATTACGACGTTGATATATAATAAATTCTTTCAGTGACAATGTGCCCGAATTATTCCCAAAAACATTGTCAACATCTACATTTAAGAAACTGGCTCATAAGATTGAAATGCGTCGATTCAAAGATTTTCGATGATCAATATCAGGGAAAATAGTTGTACTCTTTTTCCTTCGCATGAGTTTTATCTTACTGAATTTTCCTAACAAGGTTTTAACGAAGTAACATTTATTTTTAATATTTCAAAATAAATGTACTATTTTCCTTCGTTTGATTTTTTTTGTTCCATCAGATTTTTATCAAACAAGGTTTTAATGAGATAGGTTTTTTGTAATGTATCATTCAAAGGGGAGTATTGTAAATGATAAGTTTATTAATGAATGACAACTGTACCCTGTAGCCTTAAAA